ATTTGCTCGGAGTCCCTGGGTGGTGCAAACTGTTACCTAGCTTGTCTGCTAACCAAAGATCAGAGGTTCTAGTCTACCCAGGGGCACCTTGGAAGAAAGGTGGGCAATCTCCTTCAGAAGGACCACAACCATTGTCCTTCCCTTAACAGTTCTGATGTGTCAGAACAGAGTGGGTATAGATACACTCACAGAAACCATATAAAATAAAATCAACCATCTGAGATGTCATTTTGTCATTGTTGTCTCTGGGTTGCATTAGCGTCAGAGACTCATAGAACAGCTGTCCAATAGCTTAGTTTTGCAAGGTCATTTGTGGAATGAGGAAGACTACTTGAGAGCTTGATGTATTTATTTAAAAGCTTAAGGCAGAGGTAACTCATTTTCAAATACTGCGATTCCTCAGTTAAAGCATATGCTACAAGAAGGGTATAGTTTGTTTGGAAGATGATAGCAAGGAGTTTTAAAATGATCAGTTAGGAAAGAGCCTAACAGGAACTGTGATTAGAAATCATGTGAATTGTTGAGATAATTTTAATGAAGCATCAAACCAAAGTGATGGTTTCTCAAAAAGCTAAAATGAAATTCCAGTAAATAGCAAAAAGCAATAACAGATTGAAAAGGGATTAAATTAGCATTTAATTAACAAAAAAAGTCAAGAGTATGGAAAAATCCAACTCCTAACTCTCCTATTAGGATCGCTATTAAGATAATGTTCCAGCTGTTGGGTTTGGAGATTGGCTTCTGATCGCATTATCCTCCTCCACTTTTCCCTTAAAGAATGAGTGTTTTTTTTTTTTTTTTGGTAACACTCTTAAGGTTAATATGTGAGTTTTTTTCCCCCTTAAATGATAACTCAGAAAGAAAATACAATTTTATAGCTTGAAAGGAGAACTCTAATTAGCAAAACACAAACAGAGGTTTCATATTTAATGCTTGTGGAAAATTTTTGAAGGTGATTTCAGGGGCTTCTGAGCTGACCCAGCGGGTTGGTGTCCCTCTTTGGCTGTTGTATTTCTCGGAATCCCTGGGGGTACAATCGCTTAATGCACTTGCCTGCTAGCTGAAGGGTTGGAGGGTTGAGTCCATCCAGAGGCACCTCAGAAGAAAGCCCTGGTGATCTACTTTGAAAAATCTGCATTGAAAACCTTCTTGAGCACAGTCCTGCTCTGACCCCCATGGGGGTGTCATGAGTTGGAACTGAGTCAACAGCAACTGGTACCATATTTCCGGCTGCTCAGAGCTCACAGGTTAGTAAGGGGGGGGTCTGCTCTGGACACAAGGGAATGGGGGATCTGTTCTTTATTTTTTATTTTAATTTTTGTAGAAATTTTTATTATGATTTGGGCAAAGGTTTACAGAGCAAATCGGTTTTCCATTCAATGATCACACACATTTTGTTTCACGTCATTGATTACAATCCCAGCAATGTAACAGCTCTCTTCCCACATCCTACCGTGGTTATCTTTTCCCTGTGTCTTCCTTTCCTGTGCATTTCTGCCTTCTGCGTTTCTCCCTGGGCAAATGCTGCCCTCTGATCTCCCATGGTGTTTGTTCTAAGGAGTTCACCTTCCTGGTGTAATTGTTCACCATGTAGTCCACATGTCTATTGTTTGGCTGAAGGTTAAGCCAGGGGAGTGAGTTCAAGCCTGACGAATGACTAGAGGCCATAGTTTCCAGAGTTTCACCAGTCTCTATCAGACCAGTAAGGCTGGTCTTTTTTATGATCTTGAGTTTTGTTCCATTTTTTTTTTTCCTCCACTCTATCCAGGACCTCCAATTTTTATTACTTTCAGAGTGGTTCGCAGTGGTAGCTGGGCACCCTCTAGGTCTTCTGATCTTAGGGTAGTATAGGCTGGGGTTCCCATGGTCCACAAGGCTTGCACTAATTGTTTCAATTTTTGATCTTCGTCACTCTTCTTCGCTCTTTGTTGTCGGTACCTTTGCTGCACCACTCCATGTTTTCCTCTTCCTTAGTGATACTGCACTGGTTACTTGCTTTTGGTACATCGTCTTTCCCTTCACCCAAATCAGTACATGAAGGTTAGTCTGTTTTTTACAAATTCCCTTAATGTCTGTTTATCTAGAAATGTCCTAATTTTGCCATTCTATTTGAGGGATAATTTTACTGGTTATATAATTCTTGATTGGCAACTTTTTTCAGGGAAACTATTCTTGACACTCATTTTTGCTTAGGAATAAATGCAGTTCCCTATTGGAGAAATGACTGAAACTCATATTTTGATGCTTTAAAACAGCCTTACTGGCACATGCACAATGACCCCTCAAGTTTTCCAAACCAGAGATTTTTCCTCAATAAACATTTTAGACGGTTACCTTGAATTCAGAAAACTTTGGTACACTGAGTTACTTAGTTACATGAAATCACAAATCTAAATGCTTGGAATTCAGTATAAAAAACAGGGAGCTAATGAAAGCTGGATAAGAAAAAGTTGGCTATGCATTTTGGTCAAGAAGAAATGTGTTAAAGAAGCAATGAATAATTTAAGGGAGTATCCCCAAGAATTAAGAATAGATCGGAAAAAAAAAAGAAAACAAAACCATTGCCATTAAATGAATCCCAATTCCTAGAGACCCTACAGGACAGAGCAGAACTGCCCCATAGGGTTTCCAAGGCTGTAAATCTTTACAGAAGTAGGCTGTCGTATCTTTCTCATGCAGAATGGCTGTTGGGTTCAAACCACCACTTTTTGGTTAGCAGCCGAGTGCTTAACCACTGCACCACCAGAGCTCAAGAACAGATTACAAGGTAATGAAAAATGGGGTACCACTGCCAAAGGTTCCTCAGATTCATCTGTGACTGTTTCTATAAAGATTTGAGTTTGGTATGGTTTTGCAAAACTAAATTTTTAAAGAATTAAACTTCAATGAGGAGATTCTTTTTAAATCCAGTCTTCCCCACCCCCTTTAAATCATAATGTGATTTTCATGCTGGTGTGAAGAGTTGGTTTTGAAGATGCATCATGTCCTTTTTCCCTGGACCATTCTGCCCACCCTTTCTGCACAGCTATTTTCTTCCAGAGCACCCTCACTCTGCTTTTCCTCCATCACTCCCCTTACGAGCATCACATCATTCCCTCAGTGCTATCCAACGCTAACTCTACGTCTCTTGTCTCCACTCTAGAAACCCGCGCTAAGCAAGAGAGAAAAAGGATTTGGAATTTTTAAAAAAGTGACTATAGGGTATTTTTGAGATTAGGGCTAGTCTTTCATATGGGTCCTTAGAAGTCTTATATGTTTGGAATCTATGGATAATTTTTAGAGTTTATGTCAGTTTCATTTATTATAAACAGTTGAAGTACAACACGTCTTTCAATACACCTTTCATTTGTGTTTAGATTTTTTTGCTCCTTTCTGAAAGAATAAAAAGAACCCAAAAGGCAGGATGAATTAGCTAAACCTCACTGGCGGCAACTGACACTACAAAGCGACCAAGGATTAAAAAGGAAGTTAGGTAGCTGTAAGTCCAAATATGAGTCTATTGGGATCAGTGAGGGACAGGCAGAGAGTTTTCTTACACACAGGAAGATCCAATTACAGTGCCTACATTTGGCTGTAAAGTTCGTATTTCTAATTGCAGATTGCTACCCAGACGTCAACCACAAAATTGAGAGAAGACCTCTTTGCCCTTCATGACAGTTTTCAGTGCCCCAACTCTTGTGGGAGACTTTGTAATACCAGCTGTTCAGATGACAAACGTTGACCCCAGGGCAGCCACTGATACATTTATGGTTCATTTCTCTCATTTTCACAATTTATGGCTGTGTAATTAATGATCTGTATCAGCAAATGCCTGAGTTTTTCAGCTCATCTCAGAACTGAATTTGCAAAGAAGGTATCACTATTAGATTACTTGCCACCTAATCTTTTTTGTTTTCCCAAAAGACTTTTAGCCAGCAACTAGTTTCCAGCAAAGGGATGCAATGTGCTAAAAGAAGGGTCATTACAGCATTAGCCTAAGCAAAGAGATTGAACTCCGTCTGTGGAATGGACTGTACGATCCTTGTGTGAGGCAGTGCAGCATGGGCATGCGAGACCACCTGTCTGCCAGCTCTGATTCTGTTCATTACAGAGAAAAAGCCTTCCAACCCCAGTTTCGGCTTCTAGCTGTCTTTCTGTTTTTCCCCTTGGCTTTAAGCAGAAATGCTGGCATGCAACTTAACTTACCTCCCGGAATAGCTCAGAGCCGATGCTCTCAATTTAGTTCTAAGAGTTGTACGTCCCTTCTCTTTGGAAATGCTCTTCCCGTATCCAAGACCCCATAACAGCTAGGTGCTTTCAATTAAAATGAAAACATTGCTTTGTGCAACACACAGGAAGGAGCTTATCTGACACCAACTCTAGCCACATTCCAAACCAGAAGAATTATATTGTTTATTTATAAGAGCATCTCTTACCTTGGAGAAGAAGGTTTGGAAAGTAGTTCAGCTTCTTCATATTCTAATGCATCCCTAGATAGGTCTTAGATTAAAAAGGCTTTGAAATAATGACTATTAATTTATAAGAGCGGTGGACAATTTTTATACAGTTTTCATGGTAGAAGATATTTACAGTAGGTGCTATGGAATATTCTGAAAAGGATCCAAGAGAGCTGTTGAATGCTCTTTTATGTCTCAACATACAGTTCTCTCCCTGAATCTTTTCCTCAGTGGCTTTGAAAACAAAACAAATATATATATATATATACACACACACACACTTATGTGCATTTATATATACATATACATATATAAACAGTGTTTCTCCCCTCTGGAGAACTGATGAGATTCATTTACTTGCTGCAATGAGCAAAATTAGAATAGAAATATTAGCTGTGTATGTCATTGCACTAATGGTTCATATAAACCAGTTATGGGTGTTCAAAAAGATACTTTCCCAACCCTGTAGAATGAATCATGAATCCTCTGTCCTGAACCCGGGCATACCTATCTGCGCGACTCCCTGCCTCGTTCAGACAACATCCGGGAGTTCTGCGTACTTACAGAAGCACAGTTTTCGGACTTGTCTTCCACAAAACCAATTTGGCAGGGCGTCCTCTGGTTCCGCAGCCAGTAATCCGTGGACTCCAGCAGACTGCTGCTGCGAAGCACCTGAGGGGACCCAGAAACCCTGTTTAGTGCTTTTTGGCCAAGGTTTTCTATTTAAACAAGCAGCTGTTTTCTGGGGAACCTGTCAGTGTTTTGTCTCAGAGCATCTGGATATTAGAAATAAATTTGCAGCATAATAGCACCACTAAACCTGCTGCCACGGAGCGGATTCCAACTCACAGTGCCCCCTAGAGGACAGAGGAGAAATGCCCCACGGGGTCCCCAGGCTGTCAATCTTCATGGAAGCAGACTGCCTCGTCTTTCTCCCATGGAATGGCTGGTGAGTTTGAACCGCTGACCTTTTGGTTAGCATCCAAATGCCTTACTTACTACACCACCAGAGCTCCTCATAGCATCACTAAAATGTGCAAACTATTCAGCCAGGAATTGGCTTTGGAGGAAGGCATGGACGTTAACACTGGAGTTTCTGCTCTCATCAGATTTTGCAACTTCACTTTCCATGTGGCTTTTGCATCATTTCAGTCAAGAGATGGCTTTGGAGTCTGGGCCAACCGGCACAAGCCATGGGATCAAATTTCTTTTCAGCGTCACTACTCCTTCACACTATATGAATATTTTCAATTCTGACAAGCACCTAGTTCTTCTGTTGGTCAGTGTTGCTCCTGATATTAAGGTTCTTCAGCTCTTTTCCTCTGCTGACCTGCCTGGGAAATGGGGTAGGTCTTCAGGTACAATTCTTTGAGAACACCTAGGGCCCTATGTTAAGCTGAAAAATGTATTCAGAATAAGTGAAAAGCAAAACAAACTCATTGCTACTGAGTCAATTCTGATTGATAGTGACCCCCACTGGGTTTCCGAGGCTGTAAATCTTTAGGGAAGGGATTGCCCCATCTTCCTTCTATGGAACAACAGGGGGGTTTGAACCTCCAACCTTCTGGTTAGCAACCAAACGCCTTATCCACTATGCCACCAGAGCTCCTAGAATAAGTAAAAACAAACAAACAAACTCAGTGCCATCAAGTCGATTCTGACTCATAATGACCCCCACTGGGTTTCTGAGGCGGTCAATCTTTACGGAAGTAGATTGCCAGGTCTTCCTTCCATGGAGTGGCCGGTTAGCAGTCAAATGCCTTAGGCCCTGTGCCACCAGAGCTCCTTAGAATAAAAGTGCATTAAAATAACCATGTTCCATGTTGAAACTGTATGGTAAAGCAAAAGCAAAAAAAAAAAAAAAAAAATTCAACTCGTGACTTAGCAAAACCAAGTATTATTTATAAATGCTTTGTTTCTGGGTTTGGATTTTATAGCAACAAAGAAAAATGGTGTTTCTCACAAGAAAACCACCAGAAGATATAGTCTCCTAACTACCCAAATGATTCAACCTCTCATGTTTCTCATCACCACCCAAACACCGCATGAGATTTTCTCATCATACGTGACATTTCCAGTGCTCCTAGGGTGCCTTCTTTTTCACTGAGGTGGTTGTTTTTGTTGATGTTAGGTGTTGTTCTGGCTGTACTTCTTTCAAGATGATTTATTCATTCTTCCAGAAGTGTGTTATATATTCAATATTCTTCGCCAACACCATAACGGAAGTTTATCAGTTTGTCTGTGGTCTTCCTTATTCATTGTCCAGCTTTTGCACGTGTATGATGAGATGATTGAAAATACCCTGATGTGGGTCATACCTCAGTCCTCAGAGTGACATCTTTGCTTTTTAACATATAAACAATTTGCAGATTTTTAAAACTTTGCAGATTTCTTCAATGCAATGTCTGTCATTTGATTTCTTGACTGCTTCTTCCATGGGTGTTGAATGTGGATCCAAGTAAAATGAAATCCTTGACCATTTCAATCTTTTCTGTATTTATCATCATATTGTATATCGGTTCAGTAGTGAGAATTTTTGTTTTCTTTATGATAAGGTGTAATCCATACTGAAGTATGAAGTCTTTGATCTTGATCAGTACGTGCTTCAAGTCATCTTCATTTTCAGCAACCAAGTTTGTGCTGCCTACACATGAGAGGTTGTTAATGAGTCTTCCTCCAGTCTGGGTGCTGTGCTCTTCATATAGTGCAGCTTCTCAGATTATTTGCTCAGCAAACAGATTGAATAAGTATGGTGAAAGGATACAACCCTGTTGTATACCCTTCCCAATTTTAGGCCACATAGTATCCCCTTGTTCTGTTAGAATGACTGCCTCTTAGTCTATGGACAGGTTCCACATGAGCACAATTAAGTGCTCTGGAATTCCTATTCTTCACAATGTTATCCATAATTTATTATGATCCACACAGTTGCATGCCTTTACATAGTCAATTTTATTAGGGTATATGTCTGCTAATATTTGATGACTATTTTCTCTGAGGTAACATAGCAGATTTAATCAGTTTGGTTAAGGCCACTAAAACAGAATGACACTTCAATTACATTTCATTTATACAAGAAAAGATTATCCTCTTTTATTCTAAAATAGAAATACATTAATTTTTATCTCAGAACAGTGAGCTAACCAAATATAATCCTGACCCATTTTTCTGTAACTCATTTGGCTTAGCTGAGTGATAGCAACAATTTTAAAACTTTTCCTGCTGAATGTTAGCATTATCTAGAGATGACACATTTTCATCATTCTTTTCCAGAACAGCACAAAAAGACAAGTTGTGGATAAATAGAAACCAAGAAAACCAAACTCACTGCCGTCGAGTCAGACCTGACTCATAGTGACCCCCCTACTTGGGTTTCCAAGGCAGTATCTATACGGAAGTAGATTGCCCAACCTTCCTTCTGAGCAGTGGCTGGTGGGTCTGAACTGCTAGCCTTCTGGTTAGCAGTCAAATGCCTTAGACACTATACCACCAGAGCCCCTATAAGCAGGAAATTGAATGATAAATTCAGACTATTGCTATGGACTCAAACTGTCTTCTACCATCTGTGTGTCAGTTTGTCATACTGGGGTAGCGTACGTGTTGCTATGCTGCTGGAAGCTATGCCACTGATAATTCAAATACCATCATGGTCACTCATGGTGGACAGATTTCAGTGGGGTTTCTAGACTAAGACAGACTAGGAAGAAATGTCTGGTGATCTACTTCAAAACTGAGCCAATCGAAAACCATATGGATCCCAACAAAATATTGTCCAACATAATTCTGGAAGATGAGCCTCCTAGGTGGAAAGTCACTCACAACATACAGTGACCACAACAGCGGACTGAAATACGCAACAATCATAAAGATGGTGCCCAACCAGTGTTTCATTCTGTCGTGCAAGGGGTCACTGTGATTTGGAGCCAACTCAATGGCACAGCAAGGATTGGCTTTGGAATTAAAGATTTGACCTAAAAAGTGATCCCTAAAGTGTGACCTAGGAACCCTAGGGATCCCTGAGATCTCTCAGGGTTCCAGAGGCCCAAGAATTTTTATAACAATACTACAAAGTTCTTTGCCATTTTCCTTCTCTTTCTCCCGTGAGTGCGTAGTGGAGTGCTCCAGAGACTCTATGGCAAGTGACATCCCAACAGGTGGAACACAGAGACACACAGGAGAGTCCAGCTGTCCTCCAGTCACTCAGACATTACAGAGATTTGCAAAACGTTAAACAGAGCCATTGATGTCACTAAAAGTTTTCTTGCTTTGTTTTTCGAATAAAGTTTTTTTTTTAATCAAAAATGTTCTGTGTGCTAACATGTTATATGTTGATTATGCTTATAAAAATAAATACATAAATATAAAAATTTCTCAGTGTTAATATATAATGTGGAAAATATCCATGGTATAATCCATATCAGCAAAAGCTTTGTGAGGTCCCAGTCGTCGTTGGCGCACAAAGGACTACGGAACCAGAATCACTGACATTTAAGGTAGAAAAGGCTCTCAGGGTCCACCTCCCCCACTGTTGCTCATTTCTTTCTTTGCAGAATAGAATAGAGTTTGAGTATGGATGTTAGAGGTCTAACTGGGCTGAAACTCTGAGTTGGTCATTAATAGCAGGATGGCCATGGGTGATTTAAATCCCAAGTCCCAGTTTCCCTGTGTAAGTGCACTGTGGGTATAACCATACCCACCTCCCAGGGCTGTGGAGGAGTATTCACTGAGATGATCCCTGTGAAACACTGAGTCACAAAGATGGCATGTTATCCTCTCAGTATGTGGTCTTTGTTGTTACTATTTTAAATGAACTGCAAAGGACAACAGAAAATTGGATGCTTTAGCCTGGAATTAGAGAATTTAAAGCACTTCAGATGCGAGAGGGCAAATTTCCTTTTACAAATATTCTCATCTAAGGTGTAATGGTACTTCAGCGTTTTGCAGTACAAGGATCTTGCACGTTTTTAAAGTTTGCTTCATGCCACTTTGAGTTTACAAAAGACCTACAGTAGTACCTGCTTTTGCTAACGGAAAAGAAATCCAAAGAGGATTTTTGCTTTTACCAACAAAGGCAAAAGGTGCAATCAGTTCAGCATTTGTTTTGCAGCCAGCCATTAAAGAGGCAACGCACACCACAAGCCGGGACGGTGGCAGCACCAAGCTCCTTCCCTGGAGCCACCTCAGCATTCCAGCATCTCACTGCCATAGCTTCCACTGTGTCTGCGAACACTCCTTGTTAGTGATATCGTAGGTTTATGAGTTTATTATTTGGTGTGACTTGGTAGTTATATTTTGGGTCTGGGAACACTCAAAAATTTTTACCCCGTATAGATTAATGATAATTGCTTCTTCACTTTACGCCATTTTGGCTTACGGATGCTTTCATGGGAACGCTCTACTTTTGGGTAGTGAGGGGATGCTTGTATTAATACTTACAGCTACCTTTTCTGAATGCTTAGAATCTGGGAGAATTGTGGTAAAATTTCTCACATATGATTTCTTGCTTAGTTCCTCCTTATTGCAATGCTAGAGCTCCCTGTGGGGGTTGAAGGGGAAAGGGGAATGAGCTTAGGTCCTCACCAAAAGGTTGGTGGGTAAGTCCATGCAGCAGTGCCTCAGCAGAAAGGCATGGTGATCTCCTTCCCAGTAGCAGCCACTGGAAACCCTGTGGA